TTCTTAAAAATTGTAAGGGACCACAAGAAATCAATCCAGCAGCTGCTAGATGATGCAAAGAAGAATAAAAAAAGACTGATTGGAGTCAATGAAGAAACAGGAGAGAGTGCAAATGACATAAAAAAATGTTCACAGAAGTGATGGCAGAAAACTTCTCAAGAAGGGGAAAAGAACTTGACATAGAGAAATAAGTGATGCATATACAACTTCAACTAGCTCTGATAAAAAAAAATTCTACATATTGGTATATAATAGTTAAGATCCAGAAACCCAACAGAAGAACAAATTTCTACAAGCAGTTAGAGAAAAGAAACAAATCACATAAAAGGAAAGCCCATCAGAATCACAGCAGACTTTCCAATACAAACCCACAAGGCAAGAAGAGCTTGGAGTGACCTATTTCAACCCAAAAATGGAAAACAACCTCCAAACCAGATTGATGTACACTGCAAAACTGTCCTTCAAAATTGATGGAGAAATAAGATACTTTCATGACAAAGAGCACCTTAGCAACTTCATGAATACCAAACCAGCACTCAAAAAATTTTAATTATACCCTAGGAAAAAACAATGAGGACCACAACCCCAGAAAGCCCAGCAGAATGAATCCATCAGGCACAACAAGAATTTAATCGCAAAGGGGAAGAATCCAACAGAAAGAAAGTCATGGCAATGATAAGTCAATATGTATCAGTGTTAACCATCAAAGTTAACGGTCCCAATTCACCAATCAAAAACAATAGATTGGCAGAATGGGTCAAGAAGCATGACCAACAATATGCTGCATACAAGAAACACACTTAATTTAAAAAGAAACTGATAGACTGAAAGTTAAATGGTGGAAAACAATACTCCCTGTGACAAGAACTTGAAAAAAAGGAGTAGCTATCCTCTTTGTAGTACAAGTGCATTTCAAACCAACATTGATTAAGAGAGACAAAGAAGGACACTACATCCTTGTAAAGGGAACAGTCCAAGAGAAAGAGATGACAATCATTAATATATATACACCAAACACTAGTGCGCCCAACTATATAAAGCAAATGCTGACATACATAAAAAAATCAAATAAGCACTAATGCAATAGTAGTGAGGGACCTCAGTACTCTACTGTCACAAACAGATCAACTAGACAAAAAATAAACAATGAAATACTACAACTCAATCAAACTTTTAAACAAAAGAACTTAACAGATGTTTACAGAATATTCCACCCCACAAAATCAGAATACACATTCTTTTCAGGTGCACATGGGTTGTTCTCTAAAATAGACCACATACTTGCTCATAGAACATGCTTAAGTAAGTGGAAAGGAATTGAAGTTATCCCCTGTATATTATCAGAACATAGTGTGATGAAATTGGAGATCAATAGCAAAAGAAACTACAAGAATTTCATTAACACATGGAAACTGCACAACACACTTCTGAATAGCCAATGGGTCACAGAGGAAATTAAAGAAGAAATTCCACAGTTTCTCCAATTAAATGACAATGACAATACAACATATTGGAATCTATGGGACTCAATGAAAAGGAGTCTTACCAGGGAAATACATAGCGTTGAATACTCACATTAGGAAAACAGAGTGAGCTCAATTACACACCCTGATGCTGAACCTCAAGTTTCTAGAAAAAAATGAGGAGGAGAAATGCAAAGCTCATACAAGGGAGGAAATTATAAAGATCAGAGCAGAAATGAGTGTAATGGAGACTAAGAAAATGAAAGAAAAAATCAATGAGGCCACGAGGAGTTTGTTCTTTGTAAGAATAAACAAAATTGGCAAACCCTTAGCCAACCTTATCGGCCAAAGGAAAGCAAGGCCCAAATCCATGCAATTAGGAATGAAAAGGGTGAAATTACAATGGACTCACCAGAAATCCAGAGGACCATCAATACCTACTTCCAGAACCTATACACCAATAAGATGGACAACACAGAAGAAATGGACAGATTCCTAGATACATATAAATTACCAAAGTTGAATGAAGAAGACCTAAAAATTCTGAACAACCCAATATCAACCAATGAAATTGAAAACATAATTAAACACTTAACAAC